ATTTAATATTTAAAACATTTTCTTTGACTTTAAATTACAAATCGAATTCGGCGTTGCCTCAGATTTATTTGTATTTAAGTTTAGGTTAAGTCAAGTAAAAATAAACTTAAGTTTTAAATGGCTTTTCGCTTGCTCCAAAGAGTATACGAAATAATTTTGAAAAATCTTTTCTTGCGCTTGCTTCATTTTGTTAGTTTTTCGATTGATTCGCAGAATTTTGGAGCGCGGCGAGTGCTGTTAACGAGCATTTGATTTGTTATTAATGGCAGCTGCTGGGTGAAAAATAAAAAGTATAAATAATAACAAAATGAGATGTGTATGAAGAATCGAGGCAAAAACTAAGTAACTTGGCCAAAGCAGATGATAATGATGATGATGATGATGAAGAAGACAAAGATATAGATATAGGTGTATATATAAGGTGTGTGTGTGTGTGTGTGTGTGTGTGTGTGTGTGTAAGGCAATTAGACACAGATCGATTTCAAGTGTGATCCAAAGTTGAGTTGAAGTAGGAGTTGGAAGTGCGCTCAGTGTATATATACATATATACATGTATGTGTGTGTGTGTGTGTGTGTGTACGTGTTGGCGTGTATTGAAGTGATCTCATCGGCAAATTCAACAAGATCTTAGCTTAATTTTTGGGCTTATCAGCGATAAGAGCGCTCGAGAGTTGCCATAAGTAGACGAAAATCTGAGCCCATAAATATCATTGACAAGCCAAATTGTGTAATCATAAATAACGGGCTGAGCCGAGTGTGCGAGCGAGACGGCTGCCATCAGTTAAACATATTCATTTGTAAGGCCAAAAATAGAAGTTCATTAAATAATTAACAGACAGCAGAAAGCAAATAAAACCAAGTTAACAAGAGCAACAACAACAACAACAACAACAGCGGCAGCAGCAACAACAACAGCGACAGCTGTCCAAATTGCGCTACCTCTAGCGCGCGAGCTCTCTCTATCTCCTAATCTCTCTCTCTCTCTCTCTCTCTCTCTCTCGCTCTCTGTGTCAACTTCTTTGACTTTCAAGTACACACGCCATATTTATCTATATAAATTGGCACCAATTCGTAAAGCCATCGAAGACGTCAACAACAAATTGCCAGATTAGCAAAAATTATAAAATCATATAATACACATATACATATCGACATCTATGTAGAGCTACCCATATATACATATATAACTAGCGCGCAATCA